CGTCCACGCGTTCAGTGGCATCAAATCAAAGGTCATGATCTGGAGAGCACGGTGAACCCCAGTCAACGCTGATGCACGCTAGCCACGAAAGTCAAAAAGGCCTCAGAATATTGGGCCAGATTGCTAAAGAAAAGCCTCACAATTGGGGACAACACCCCCCTCCAGTTTGCTTCTTTTTACTTTTATTTTTTTTCTTTTCTTTGTTTTAATTAATCTTTTTTTTAAATGCTTTAATTTAATGTTTTCATAAAATATAAAAAACACATAAAAAATCAGAAAAAGAGAAAAAATAATAAATATTTTATTTTAATATTTCTTGTAAATAAATTCATGAATTAATTAGTTTTAAATTAGGTTTTAATTTTAACTCTTTTAACAAAAATCTAAAAAATGTAGAAATAGGGTTTAATTAATGTTTTTTTCCTTTTTATTTTTTCTTTCATAATAATTAAAATAATTAAATATTTATTTTTGTAATTAAAATTGCATGTAAATTAATTAGGGTTAATATTAGGTTTTAATCTTCTTTTCTTAATAAATTAAAAAACAAATAGAATTAGGGTTAGCATTTAATTTCAATTAATTCTTTTTCATTTAAATCCTAAAATACTAAAAAAATACCAAAAACATCTCCTTTTCCTTTTTCTTTATTAATTAATTCCATTTAAGTTAATTTTGCAAAAAAGGGTCCAACGCCCTCGTTTTTTAATTCTTATTAATTCGCATATTTATTTTATTTCGTTTAAATATTTATGTATCTCTCCCGAAGCCATGTAATTAATTTCTTGCACTTTTAATTCTTTATTTTCTTTACTTTCTTTATTTTTCTGTCAAATCGGGTTCGAGAAATTTTGGCGATGTGGACCCGCGCCTTTTGTAATAGCTTAGAATTTTTTACTTTCCCGCAATATTTTTAACTGTTAAATCAAGGCATGAAAGAATGTATGGACAAAAATAAAAACAAACGTTAGATCGCCAATAACATGACAAAAGACAAAAATAAATGAAAACGACACACAAATCGCACACACCACCCCTAGGGTACGCCTCACTGTTGCCTTGCCTCGAAAGGTGATCGTCGAGTAGAGGATGTCTTAGTAAGTCCTCATGATCCGGGAACCTGGCATGAGGGTAGCTTCTAAGGTGTCTTCCCATTGCTCTGGTGATCACCATGTCCCGAACCCTCGAATTGACCCGAACACCTCCAACGGTGGTGCTACCTACCTCTCAATGGTGGGATGGCACTACTTTAAGGACATCTACACAGACGAATTCCTTAGGGTAGGTAGACGACTCTAGATACTTGCTCTAATTTCAAAACAAAAATCAAAATACTTTTCACACCGACACCTTTTCAAAAAGCTTTCGAAAGCAACTTTTCAAACACTCTTGAGGACCGATACAAGAGTCGAACTGAAATTTTCAAAGAAACTTTTTAAAATCCACAGTTGAAAAGCAAACAAACCATTTTTGAAAACACAAGTGAGCAAGTATCTAAGAGCCCATGGATAACCATGGATAGAAAGGGTGCTAACACCTTCCCTTTCTATAACCTACCTCCCGAACCGAGAGCAATCTCTTTAAGGAATTTTTCTGTGCTTTTGTCCTTTCCATTTGGAGAAAATAAAAGACGGTGGCGACTCTTGCTTCCGCGACATTTCGCGAACCAGCGTTAAACAGTCAGTTCCAGATCCACCGATCACAGAAATGTTCTCAACCTATTCAAATATTCAAGCTCAACGGTACTCCATATTAGAAGGCATGCTTCAATCATAAGCTGAAAACCTTGCCTCCTTTCAATCCACCTTCCTTCAGCATTTTCCAAATCTTTCATCAGATTCCAAAAAACCATGATAACGAAAACCTAGATAATTGATTCATGTCTATGTGTAATTATGTTTAAGTCATTATGTTGCCCTTTCTGTTATTTTTATGCACTTATCCTTATTAACTGGTTTGTAATATGCTACATGCGTTTATCTAATTATTTCACTTTATGATCCGCACTAATCTCATTTTATGTGAATGATTGTTAATGTATTAAGTTGCAAATAGTAGATGATTTTGCACTTAAATGATTTTGTTACTCTTGACCTTATGCTTTTTCTCTTTTTGATATTGTCAAAGGGGGAGAAGCAAACACACAGAAGATCAGAAGATTATATGACGCTTGCAAGCGGTGCTTTACCAAACGCACAAACTCAGGGGGAGCATATTTGAGCATTGTTTTTCCATCATCAAAAATGGAGAGTATGTGAGGGAAAGGTCCCTCTATAAGTATTTTAATGATGTCAAAACGATTATTAATCTCTCTCTATTTGGGTTGGTCCTATGAACAATCTTGCAATGGAATGATTGGAATGAAGATCTTCAGAAATTCTTATTTTTGAGAAAATTCAATCTGTGCGTCGATTCAAAGATACGTGCGGTCGACTCATCACCTTCAATCAAGCCCTGGATGTTTCAGGTCGACCCTTCCGGTCGACTCAACCTGGAAAGCAAAATATTAAACTATTACGTCGACGCAAGCCCTGTAGCGGTCGACGTACTTCACTTCATAATGGATTTCCCTCAAACTGCTGAATGTGTCACGTCGACCCTTCCGGTCGACTCAACCTGGGAATCAAAATATTCAAAGTTTGAGTCGACGCAAGTCCTGAAGCGGTCGACGCATTGCACTTCAAAACAGTTTTTCCTTTGTATGCGGGTTGTGTCGCGTCGACCCCCATTTCTGTTTGAGTCGACCGCTCGCTGGCTTCATCTGATTTTCTGCTATGATTGTGGGTCTTGGCTATTATATATATATATATATATATATATATATATATATATATATATATATATATATATATATATATATATATATATATATATATATATATATATATATATATATATATATATATATATATATATATATATATATATATATATATATATATATATATATATATATATATATTATGCATCATTATTTGAAGTTAACAAGAACTAGTGAAAGATACACATAGTGTTCATCGTCTTCATCCTCTCTTCTCAAAAATTAACATCTACACATAATCATGGTTGTTGATTCAAGAAAATTGCTATGGTGATAACGTTCAAATCAAGGATTCAGTTCAGATTTGGGTTGAGCAATTGTGGGTTGTTCTTGAATAAAATTGTTTGGATTTTCTCCTCCAAGATTCCTATTGGTGTGGGATTTTCTCCTCCAAGGTTCCAAGTAGCAGTAACCGGAGGATTGTGAAGATTGATTTGGAGTCAAATTTCTTGCGATCGAAATCAACCGAGTGAAAGGATTAAGAAACGGTAGGTTTGCTTAATCAAGTAGCGGTAATCAGAGGTTTGTTCGAAGAATTTGGCACTTGGTTTTGCTCAAACCAAGGAAAGGAAGAAGATTGTTACATCAGCAACATTGGTTTGTTTGTATTGTGAATTCTCTCTTCTCTTGTATCATTTGCAACTTAATATCAAATATCTCAATTCTAGATTCTAGAATTGGGGACAAACGTACCCTACGCGAGGACGATAAGGGGAACTACCTTAATAAATCGTGTGCTCTTCTTCTTTTTCTTTATCTTCATGCTTGATTAATATAATTTGTGAAAATTAATTTGTCAAATCTGCATGTACTGAAATTGTGGTATGTTGAGATCATTTTTCAACATTGGTAACAATCATTTTGATTGATACCCAAGAAAACTCACCACTACAATTTAGTTAAATCAAACCTAAGGTGCTTTGCTCATAAGGTGTTTGACAAATTGACTAATTCACAAATTATTCATAGTGTATAGTTTTATCTCATTCAACTCATTGGAAGTAATTCATATTCATTGAGAGTGTATAAGTGATTGACCAATTGAGTAAAACACATTGTTTCCTTCTTTGTTATTCTATCCCATACAGTTTCGCATATCCGATTTTTTCAATAGAGGATCGTTTAGACGATTGGAGATTCCGGAAGCTTTCGCATAAATTTCTTAAAAATAATTTCAAAAAGCGCAAATTATTTTAGATAATCTATTCAACCCCCTTCTAGATCGATCACATCGTCTAACAATACTTTGATATACAATGTTACTTGTATATCTTATGTACTAAGAAGAAAAGAATAACAACTCTAACTAACTCTCACCATATGCATAACTAACTTAATCTAACTTTAAGTAGTTATGTTGATATGAGGGGTGTTGTTTAGTTATTATGCTAATTTTGTAGTTGGTTTGTATTCTTGGTGGGGTGGTTTGTAGCACAGCAATGTGCTACAAACCACCCCACCAAGAATACAAACCAACTACAAGCTGGCATTGAATCATTCCAAATGTTTAAGTGACCTGCTACATAGAACATCCCTGCAAGATGTTGGCTCTGCACCTTTTGATGATCCCACCCTATTCAAGTCAGTAGTAAGAACTCTTCAATGCCACAATTACTAGACCTGAACTTAACTACTATGTTACAAAGGATGTTAGTTTATGATAAATCCCTCACTGGCAAGCACCGAAAAGAATCCTCAAATACTTGCAAGGTACTCTCAACTATGGTTTTCAACTACACCAGACTTATCTTCAACATCCCTTCGCCTTACATGGCTTTTGTGATGCAGATTTGGCCCCAATCTGATCTCTAGGTAGTTGTGGGAAAAAACTATAGAAAAGTATAGAGAACAAAAATTGAAACATTGAGAAAAGCAAACAATCCGAAACGTACTAGTATAAATAAATAAAGAAATAGTATCAAAGAAGTGAATTATAAATTAATTATGTAGGAGTAGATGGAGTTTCCACCATGGTGTAATGTGGATAAGGAAAATTCACCGATTTTTCTAGAGAGTTCGTTTCATATGAACAAAAATCGACTATATATCTTTTGCCACATAACATGAGGAAAAGTTGAAGTCTTAATGTTTTTGGATTTGTACCATTTCAGAGTCATTTATTGAACTCAATTACTAGGGCTGTTTAATGAGTTATGTAACTGCAACTCGATCGCAAAATTCAATCTTCCTCGTAAGATTCTTTTCCAGATAAATCAGGAACAAAGTCATATAATTGGAGCTCAAAAGACAGAAGCTCCAAGGTTGAGTAAATATTATCTTTCTCATCATGATATTTATCACCAGACACAAATTTGTGAATGCTAGAATCAATTTCAATGGAACTAAAGCCTTGTTTCTTTTGTAAGCCACGTTCTTTCATTGCCTTCCTAAGCTTGCTCGCACCATCCCATTTTCCAACTGCAGCATATATGTTAGACAGAAGCACATAATTTGAATCTCCACCAGGGTACAATTCAACAAGATACTTCATCACTTTTTCAGCCAATTCAACGTCACCTAGAGTTCTACAAGCTGCAAGCAATGACCCCAACACCACTTCATTAGGCTTCATGGGCATTTTCTCTATGACGTCCCATGCTTCCTCCAATCTCCCTGCTCTACTATAAAGATCCACTATGCAACCATAATGCTCAATCCTCGGCGAAACTCTACAAACTCTCTTCATGTCAGCAAAGATTTTTAGTCCATCGTCAATCAATCCAGCATGACTGCACGCTGTGAGTGCCCCCGTGTAACTGACTCCATTCGGCTCGAACCCTTCCTTCTTCATTGAATGGAAAAAACTCAGAGCCTCGCCTGCAAGTCCATTTTGAGCAAAACCAACAATGATTGAATTCCACGACACCAAATTCCGCTGAGTCATCCCATTAAACACCTGACGAGCAAGCTCTATGCACCCACATCGAGCATACATATCTATCAACGAATTCAAAACTCTAACATTATCTCTGAACTCTTTCTTCATCACAAGCCTGTGTATCCACAATCCAAGACCGAGTGCACCCAAGTTAGCACACGCAGCAATGATAGCAATAATAGTCACGTAATCAGGAGCAACACCAGCAATCTGCATTTCTCGAAAACATTCAAGAGCTTGTTCATAACAATCTCTCTTCAGAAACCCACCAATAAGCACAGTCCAAGAAACAGCATTCTTGGTAGGCAATTTATCAAACAGCTTGAGTGCATTTTCAATCTCACCATTCTTGACATACCCATCAATCATAGTATTCCAAGAAACCAAATTTCGGACACCCATTTGATCGAACACCAACCTAGCGGCATCCACACGACTAGATTTAGCGTACATGTCAATCAACGCAGTACCCACCTTTACATCGTTTATGGCGAAACCGTGTTTGAAAGCATGTGCGTGTATGGTGGCTCCAAAGGAGATGGTGGTTTGGGAGGGACGGTGAGCGCAAGCAGAGAGAAGAGTGATGAGAGTAATGTTATTGGGTTCAACTTGAGCTTCTCTCATGCGGGTGAATTCGGAAGCTGCTTGGAGTAAATGGCCGTTTTTGCAGTGGTGAGAAATGGAGGATGTCCATGCTACAGTCGGGTCTGTGGGGGGTTTGTGTTTTAGGGAGATGGTTTGGTTTTTGTTGGGGTTAGAGTCAGGTATTTGATTTGGAAGATGAATGGGTGAATGTGTTTTTGGAGGATGAGAGTGTTGTGTTGGGGTGGCAGTGCACGTAGTGAGGATCATTCTTTAGAGGGGGAGAAACTATCAATTCTTGCTACCTAAATATGAATTTGATTACAACCTTAGTTTAGAGAGCAAATAGTTGCTTTATCACCTATCATGTTTACAAAAATGTTTATGCAGGAACAAAATAAGCTAGACAGTTTCATTTGGTATCACATGTTAATACAATAATCAAACTTGTACAATATGAATCTCACAAGAAACTTATAGCATCACTTTATAAATATAACTTGTCTTGTAAATTGTAACGCAGATTCATTACTATCAAACAGAATTTGTGTTTTATGGGAAGACCACAAAAAAGACCAAACCAACATTTATCCACATCTTGGTATAGTACTCTGCAGTATTTCAGCTCCAAAAAAAAACAAAAACAAAATACAAAAAACAGACATGGAGAATCCATGTCAATTTCATCAAGAACACATTAACAAGAACCAAAAAAATCAACTCATAATCATCTAGCATCAGCAGAAGTGAAGGAGTCAGCAAATCCATTAGGCCTCAGTGCAATACTTCCTTTACTGTCTTCAAGACTAGCAGAAGTACTACTATAACTAAACTCATTGTTTTCTGCATCCTTCCAAATTTTCAACATTTGAGGAAGTGGTCGAGTGCCGTCAACGGCAGAATACGAATCGTTAAATTCATCGGAAACTGGTCGCCATTTCTCCACTAAGGCTGATAGTACGTTGACAGCATGACTCATATCTGGCCTATGGTATGCTTCCCTAGCAGTGCAATGTCCAGCAAGTTCTGCTACAATAGTTATACTTTCACATGATTCTTTGTTTTGTTCCAAAGCTGGATCAATTGCAGCCATAAGCTTTTCATTGTTCGATTTAACTCGCCAAAACCATTCGGCCAAGTATCGGATTTCCTCTGACCGGCTCTCATCAAGGGCCGTTAGACCGGTTAGAAGCTCCATTAACACGACACCGTAGCTGAATACATCAACTTTTGTGGTGATTTTCCCCATCACTGAAACACATAACCATAAACACTGAGATACAATTTCTACAACTATTTCATGTTATAATTTAGAAGGATGAAAAATATAAAGCAAGGTCATACCTGCATATTCCGGGGCTAAGTAACCGAAAGTCCCAGCAAGTTTTGTTACTACAGATTTTTCACCATCTGGGGCAAGCTTCACAAGACCGAAATCCGAAACTTTTGCACGAAAATCGTGACCTAGTAGAATATTAGAAGACTTGAGATCTCTGTGAATGAAGGTCTCGCGGGTAAGACCGTGAAGATATTCCATTGCTCTAGCAACATCTAGTGCTATTACAAGCCTTTGTGACCAAGACAAAGGCTTTAAGTCCAATTTTTTCCAATGAAAAAGATGCTGACTTAGAGCACCAAGTGGCATATATTCATAAACTAGAAGTCTTTCATTTCCTTCAATGGAATGCCCCAAAAGAGATACCAAATGTCGATGACGAACCTTGGAAAGAACATCTATTTCAGCTTGAAACTCTTCCACTCCCTTATTTCCGATAGTTCCATTCTCCATTCTCTTTACTGCTATCTTGGTTCCATCTTCTAATTCACCTTTGTAAACAGTTCCAAATCCACCACGGCCTAGCTCATTTTCCGATGCAAAATCGTTAGTAACCTTGCGTAGCATTTGCACCGATATGACATGGTTTCCAACCTCAATTAGGTGAGAGTTTTTAGTTTCACCACTTAAGTTAGTCAGAGAACTCGTCCCAGATTTTTCTGTTAAGCTTCCAGTGTTATTGCTTGAAACAGCAATTTTAATTCCGTTGTATGGATCAGATGAATCTCGAGAGTGAACCACAATGGAACTCGGAGCATCCAAGGAGTTTTTATCCTTCTTAAAGAAACATAAAAAGAGATAAACAATAAAAGACACTACAACTGCAAACACTGCAACTCCAACCAATATTGCTACTGTCTTGAATCTTCTGTGATGTGAGCTTGGAACTAGCTGATTATATGACGCTGAAGAGTGTGTCGAGTTGTTTTCCAAACTCGGGCCGCTAGTAACAGGACTAACACTCCCTCCAGTTTGATTATTAAGAGAAGGATTACCAACGGTAATAACCTTCACACCATCACGAAAATTCGGCAAAGGAGATTCAATATTATTGTCACTCAAATCCAACAATCTCAAGGATTTCAATTTAGTAAAATCACTCGGAACTACGCCAGATATATTATTTCCAGCAAGCCTAATTTCGAGAAGTGATTCTAACTTCGCAAGTGAAGGACTCAAACTACCATTAAGCTTATGCTTTGGTAGATTAATTAAAGATACCTCAGAGGAATTGCAGCTCAATCCAAACCATGGTCCTGTGCTACTTGTGCATGGTTTATTACCTGACCAATCGGAAATTAGAAACGACGGATAATTCAGATTAGCCAGAAAATCCAAAAGTGATGTAACCTGTTGAGAACATTCAACTCCAGGCTCAGTTTGGCAAAAGAGATTATCATCATAAGTAAAGTTTGCAGCTTTAAACTTCGGTATTGGACCCATTAGCATGTTATTGTTCAAAACAAGTAACTCGAGGTTCATTTCTGCTAAGGATTGTGGAATCAACCCAACAAATTGATTACTGTTAAGGTTGAGTTCATTCAGGGAAGTGAGATTTCCAATGTTCTTTGGAATCGTACCTGAAAACTTGTTTCCGTGTAGCCAAATCTGCGTTACGAAAACCATCGAAGCAATAACATCGATAGAACCTGTAAAACCACCTTCTCCTTCTTGATTATTCAACCACAGAACCTGAATTGAAGATTGAGAAAAAGTAGCTGGAATCGTACCGGAAAGTCTGTTGTTTGAAAGCCTTAGATTTGTGAGAGATGACAATGTGCCTAGAAAATCAGGCAAAGATCCAACCAAATTACAATGAACGAAAGAAAGATTAGTTAACTGAACCGATTTATCCAAATCCGAAGGAAATAACCAACCATTAGTACTCACATTGAGTTGATTTTCTTCCAAAGACAAAACCCTAAGGCTTGTCAATCCATTGAAGAAATCAAATGGAATAGCATCAAATGAATTGTAATCCAAGAAAGCGAATTCCAGTTTCGACAAGCCACTAAAACTCGGTAAAATCCCAGTGAGATTGTTTCGTTGAAGACCTAAATTGTAGAGTTCTGTGAGTTGGTTAAAGTTTTGAGGTAATGTTCCTATGAGACCAAGATTCTTAGCTTGAATCTGAGTGACTCTATCTTCCGAACAGAAGACATAAGGCCATGAAGGAGGACCACATGGATCATTGTTTCCTTTTTCTGGCCATTTCAAAAGCTCAGGATTCTCTAATCCTTTTCTAAAATCATTCAAAACTTTGAGATCATTAGGGTTTGTTGCAGCATAACATAGTGTAATAATTGAACAAAAACATATCAACTTAGAAAGTTTTTCAATGAACATAACTCCTATGTATGAATGGCCTAAGACAAAAATAATCCAACATTAACAAGGAAGAAGTTTCCTAGTAAAATCAAAACATTGTATATGATAAAGTTGAGTGTCTAATTTGAGATGAGACATTCTAGAAAGAAAGATGTTGAAGATGAGTGTGAAAATGAGTGCTAGCTAGGTAGTTATTGTTACCTAAAATAGGTATAAAGAAGAGAGTTTTGCTTTATGGAGAAAATGTTGAATGGAATGAAATTGATGAAATGGGAAAAAGACAACAAGAGACTGTAATTGTGGAGTACCTTCTTTTTTTTCAGTTTAATAGACCATGTCCATGACTGTCAGCTAAAGAGACCTTCTTTTTGCTTTCAATACTTTTATCAATTAATATAACTATTCCATTAACTTTTTTTTTCCTTCCAAGCTATGTATGTTAGTAAAAAAATGTTAATAACATACTATTTTTTTTAATAGATAAGTGTATAGTTAATAGCTTTTAACTTAATTGATTGAATTTATAAAATTTGATTTTAAAATATAAAAATATTTATTAAATTGATATTTGTAATATTTTCCCCATTAAAATAATAGAGATAAAATTGAAAAAAAAATTACTAGACAATTGTTTTTAAAAAGATCGACTTATAAAATATAAATTATAATTAGTAACATATAATTTGATTTAAAAATATAAAAATATTATTAAATTGATATTTATAATATTTTTCCCATTAAAATAATAGAGATAAAATTGAAAAAAAAATTACTAGACAATTGTTTTTAAAAAGATCGACTTATAAAATATAAATTATAATTAGTAACATATTCGTGTTCCGCACAACAGCGGCATTATCACTTTTTTAAATAATATGTCAATATTAATTTAATATTATTTAAAAGAGAAAAAATATTGACAATTATAAAATATATTAATTCATAGGCATGCATATCAATCCAAATTATAAAATACTTTGTTAACTATAGTATTGATAAAATATTTTAATAAATTTAATATATTTTATTATTAAAATTAATTCAATTAATTATTATTTTTTAAATTGTATACAACTTAATTGGAATAGAGAAAATAAAACTAATAAAACTATCCATGCTAGCCGCACGAGTATATTTATTTGATATTATATATATAATTTGTTTAGATATTTATAATATTGAATGATAAATATAATTGTAAAAAAATAATGATATTAATGTGTTTGTATATGTTAAAATAATTTTGTATAGTAATTTGTATTCAAATATATATTGAAAGTAATATCTATAAAAAAATTTGTGTGAATTTAACTCATTGTGTTCCGTTATAAATTTATTTAATACGATATAAATTTTATTTAAATTTTATTTAAATATACATGTAAATTTGAAAAGAGTTATTTAATTATAAAATAAATAATAATAATAATATATATTTAATTTAAATATTTGAAAATAAGACTTTTGTGTCTCAAATAAAGATAGTTATTAATTAAAATAAAATAATTATTTTATTGATAGTGCTCTTTCGGAAAAATAGAAATTTTGACATTTGAAAATAAAAATTTTGTGTCTCAAATAAAGACAATTACAATAAAAAATAATTATTTTGTTGATAATTCCCTGTAAAAAAATAAAAAATATTGATATTTGAAAATAAAAATTTTGTGTCTCAAATAAGTATAATATTAATTAAAATAAAATAAGTATTTTGTTGATCTATGAAAAAAGTAAAAATTTTGAATTTAAAAATAATATTTTTAATAATTATGAATAATTTTGACATTTAATTTTTTTTTTTTAATATTTATGTTAATTCAATTTATTGATTTGTTTATGTTTAGAAAAATAAAAGAGAAAGGAGAAATTTGAGAGAGAGAAAATAGAAATTTTGACATTTGAAAATAAGAATTTTATGTCTCAAATAAATATATTGTTAATTAATATAAAAATAGGTATTTTGCTTATAATTCCTTGAAAAAAAAATAGAAATATTGACATTTGAAAATAAGAAATTTTTTGTTTCAAAGAAATATAATGTTAACTAAAATAAAATAGGTATTTTGTTGATAATGATCCGTGAAAAAAAAATAGAAATTTTAATATTTAAATATTTTTTAATAATTATTAATAATTTTGACATTTAAAAATAATTTTTTTAATAGTTATATTAATTTAATTTATTAATTTATTTATGTTTATAAAAATAAAAAAGAAAAGAGAGAATTAAAAGAGAAAATTAAAATGAAAGTGAAAATATTATAGAGAAAAATGCAAGAGAGAAGAAAGTAGAAATGAAATAAAAAACAAATGTAGAAAAGAAGTGAAATAGAATAAGAATTGAAAAAATAGAAGTGGTTTTATATTATCAAATATCATCAACATTTGATTGAATAAAATATATCATTTTAGTAGTATTATTAATTTAAAGGAAATGACTTTTTTAGTAGTTTGGTAGCATTTAATTTTAATAGCTAGACTAGATAATTGATGAGACATAGATTATTACTTACTCCAATTTTTATTATAAGAATAAATTTACTTTATCTATCTATATCTATATCTAAAAAATATTAAAACAAATATTAAAGGTAAGTAATATTTTAGATTCTCGGAGTTGTGTGATTTTTTGCATTAAAAAAATAGGGTGTGGGTGAATGAAAGATGAAAAGGAAAGGTTAACAATAATCTTGTCGCATTGTTTGAGATAAAAAGTGGATGATATTCTTCCACGTAGAGATTAAGGGGGTCCATTTTGGTCTTGCTTTGGATATTTTTTAAAATAAAATAAAATGTGGTCCAAGGAGACATTTTTGCTTTTGAGGCGTAACATCAGCAACAAAATCATTGTACTGCTTTCATTATATAACTTTAAATAAAGTTTATAACTTAATTAAAGAAAAGATTATGGTGTTTTTGGACAAGGTAATAGAAAATTTATGATAAATAAATTTAAAATAATTTAAATAATTTAATTAAATTTAGTTATTGTAATTTTTTATTTATCATTTTATCAAATTTAAAATTTAGAATTTTTGAAAGTTTAAGTAGACCAATTATGAAATTTGAAAATTATTAATGACTTGTTCGTTATTTTTTGAAAATTTTAGGGGGTCAATTTGAATTTTTTTGCAAAAAATAGAGACCAATTTAAAATTTTTAAAGATTAATAATACACAATTTGACACATAAAAGAGAAATAAATTTTTTTGAAAAATTTAAAATAATTTAATCAAAATTTTGTTTGGACAAAGAATGTGGTAAATTGTTGAAATGATGAAAATTTAAGAAGTGTTTTATTCAAATTAAATTTAAGAAATTCTAAATGATAAATAACATTAAGAAATTTTAAATTCCTCTCATAGTTTATATATTATAAATGTCAAATTTCTGGCCCCTCCAATCAGTTAAAGGTATTTATTGTAACATTCGAATTTCTATTTGATCTTATCGGTTAATCAGAACTTGTAAGTTGGTCGAAGGATGATCTTTGACGGGTTAGAAAGGTCGACGAAAAGGAGGGGGATTGTACCTGAAAGGCACTCCGACGATCAAGTAAGTGTGGGAGCCAAGAGATACAAGCAGAATATTAGGGTTTCAGAGATGAATAGTGAATACCTGGGCCTCACAAGTGTAAGGGTTTATATAATACCCCTAACGCGTAGCCATTGATTCCTATTTTTGGGCTTATATATCCGGGTCTGTGAATATAGGAACTGCCAGGACTTGGTCAAACCAGGCAGATGTGCCTGCAACTAGCCGTTAGTTTCGAGGACAAGGTAGATTACGGGCATCGATCTGGTCGGCCCCTAGTTGTCTGGTCGACTTGATGTCGAGCAGACAGAGAAGTGTCTGTCGGACGTAGTTGGTCTAGCTGGTCTGGGAGAGCCATCGACCGGTGGTGCCCGACGGAGGGCATTGTTTGTTAGGAAGTTCTTGGGAGAGTGTTGGTGGCAGATGATGGTTCAATGGGTTGGAATCATCAGAGCCGCCATAGGTAATTCCTGGACGAGCCTGGAATAATAGCGGCGTTTATGATGAACCGTAGATGATTCTTGTCGGTGACTTGAGCGTTCCTGTTAATCTCAGCTCGTTCTGTCGAGGGGGAATGATTGTCTGCTAGATGCCTAAGTGTGGGCTCTGGTCAGGGATAGGGTCCTCGTTCCTTAGTGTCCTTTCACTTGATTAGTGGTGGAAGGGTGGTTTTGACACTAATATCAAACTCACATATATCCTCTACTTTTCAGGTAATATGACTGATAATGTCGGAGACGACCTCCCGACCGAGCCCATCGAATATTCCCAGAATTCTACTGACGAGACCCCTAGCGAGTTGAACTACTCGGGGGTATCTGAGCCTAAGTCGAACGAACCTGATCGGTACATCGTGGAGGAGGACGCTGATATGGTTCCCGCTGACTAGGGGGTTACTCGTTCGTGAGGATGACGATGATCCAAGGACTTGGGTCGCGGCGGACCCATGGGAGCATGTATCCTATTTTGTCAAGAATCCGGATGATGTTTTCATTGAGGTGGATTCATACGTGGACGGAGGGGATGACCAGGAGGAATGGTTATCTGGATTCCCAAAAAGAAGAGTCAGATTTGCTCGAGGTATAACAAGCGGAGGATCCCTATGTATGACATCTTGTTCCAAAAGATGGGCCTTAATTTCCCTTTTATGGACTTCCAAGTGGATGTTTTCAGGAACCTTCAGCTGGCTCCCTCTCAACTGCACCCTTACGAGATTGCCTTTATAGGGGAATTTGAGGTTGTGTGCGATTACTTAAAGATAGGGGCTACTATGCCTTTGTTCTTCTACTACGTCCATCTTCAGAGGAGCAAGGTTAATGGCCTGCATGGATGGGTCGCTTTGAAACAGGCCAACGGGAAGCTGTTCAAGGCTTACTTGGAGTCTAAGATTTTTTAAAGACAAGTACATACTTGTCCAGCCAGTTTCGGGCAGGGCCATGTTAAACATTTTCCGGGTCGCCCCAGAGTATGATGAGGATGGAGCT